GACCTGCATCCATGTGTCTGTGGATTTGTACACAGGAAAAAGCCTGGGGGGGAGGTATAACCTCCCAGGGGCTACTACCCAAGAGTGAGGGTGGGGAGGGGCCTTCGCCAGGAAATTTTCACCTTTTACCATAAGGTACACTCCTCGCAGCTCTTGCGGACTTTGAAAAGTACCTACCTGTTTTAACTTAAGCTTATGGCCTTCCCTACACTTGTCTTCAGTTTGGCTTCACATCATCCAAAGAGGAGTGACTGAGTATTTAAAATCAATAGGCAATAGAAACTTTCCAGTCCCCCTTCTCTCTTACCCCTGCAAGGAGTAACTAGGTGACTCTATTGATGGCAGACTCTATTAAAGTTGTTTTCTCCATAGAAGTGTCAAAATGTACGCGTGTTGTTTTGAAGTTACGCAGGATGCTTACAAGAATACAGAGTGAACCCACGATGAGTGTGACTCCATTTATGAATAAGAGAACCACCAGGAGGGTAAACAGGCATTTGGGAACTGAGCGTTTACGGTCAGTGAAGAAAAAAATTGGGAAATGAAGTTACCAGGTGAGACCCAAACTGGCCAAAGCCCTGCAGGGTGATAAATCCACAGTCCTGGGGGTTCTCGTTTCCACCATTACAAAACCCATGTGGGTCTCATCTGGACAAAAGCCTGCCTACCTGCCAGTCGTGTGTCATCTCGCAGAGCCTGGGCCCCCATCAAGAGCAAACAGGAAAATCCCAGGAAGACACAGCCCCTGGGTGGCTCCGAGGCTGGGCTCAGTGTAAAACTGAGGAGAGGAATCCTCCCTTTGCCTTATTTATAACTGTTGGATATTTTTCTTAACATAAAATACACATTTACATATTGGCAGCTGCGGCTTTCAATTTTCCAAATGCACTTTGCTCTTCATATTAATCTCCTTTTCACCATCTTTCGTGTCTGCTTTCAATCAGGAAGGAAAATGACGAGCAAGCAATTCTGGAATCGCAATAATGTTCCGTTATTAAAACGAAATGGATTTTAGCATTATGTTGATAATCACCTGGATGGCACTAAAACGTGGATGGGCTATTTAGACTGTATCAGGGCCCAAAAAAAGGTCATGTCTCTTCGAGCTGATGGCAGCCACAACAAAAACCTGTGGATACATCCTGTTTATATGGATTTGGAGCACAGCTTCAGGCAAGTTCCTGAATTCTTAGCCTCGGCTTCCAATTTCTGTGAAAAATAAGACTTCGCCACGCTGCTGACAGATCCAAAGGCGGATGCTACTTCTGCGCTCCTGTTTCACTGTGTGCCTGCAGCCACTGGCCATCGCTCCTGCTGTTGGCTTTCCTGCCGGTCTCCGTTGTTGATCACTTGTCTTTCGCCGTGTGGCTGTGTAGTTACCTTCTTGTGAGGTTAACAAGCATAAGCTGTTTTTTCCATCTTACCCATTGCTTTGCTTCACCCCCGAAGTTCAATCGTGTGTCTCATTCTTCTCTCCTGTCTGTAGAGAATGCCATGGTCTTATGGTGACCCCATGGCATTCTCTACAGTCACTAGGACTTTTAACAAGTCTCTCTCCTGCTCTGACTTGATGCCATTTTTAACTGGAATCCGTCTCCCATAACTGACTGTCACGTTGTTTTAGAAACACAGAAACCACCACCACGTGGAATTATGTAGAAGCTGTGACATTACACACTTAGCTCACACAGCCCACTGCTGATTAGTTCTTCAGTTGCCTCTTGAAAAAACTAACCCATGTGTCTGCCAACAGTTTGTTTTTGTAAACAACCTGCTCACTCAAATACATTAATATGCCATAAGAAGAAATATGATGTCAGAGCTGCAGAGGGAGACTGAACACAAGTTCCTATTTCTAACCAGAGGTCCTCACGGGAACCAAACTGGAGTGTGTGTGTGTGTGTGTGTGCGCGCGCGTGCGTGTGTGGTTGGGTATTCGGAAGCACTCTCCCATGTAGCTTTTAATTCACCTGAAACACCTTCATTAAACACAGTTTGCCTGCAGGAAGACTGAGACCCATAAAGCTGAAAAAATACAGAAACTCTGAATATATTTAGAACCACTGAATTACACACTTTTAAAGGATGAACTGTATATGTGAAGTGTACCTCCATTTACTTTTTTTAATAGCACAGAAAGAAGTAAAATTATAGTTTACATGATTGCTGTAAACATTATCATTTCAAATTGCTGTTACTTATGTAAAACTGTTTTTTGTTTGTTTTTAAATGTTTTATTGATTTTTTTACAGAGAGGAAGGGAGAGAGATAGAGAGCTAGAAACGTCGATGAGAGAGAAAAGTCGACCAGCCACCTCCTGCACACCCCACACCGGGGATGTGCCCGCAACCAACGTACATGCCCTTGACCAGAATCGAACCTGGGACCTTTCAGTCCGCAGACCGATGCTCAACCACTGAGCCAAACCGGTTTCGGCTGTAAAACTGTTTTCATTGCTCAACTGATCTGTTTTTATGTCTGTAAAAAAGTATTTGGGTATCTCGGGCTAAATGGGATTCATAACTTTTTCCAATTAAAAAGTATTGGAAATATTTCTTCACTGAATGACTTTTGACTTAGCGTCCATATTTTCAGGGACAGATTACAGGATTAAGCAAGAGATGGGTTTAATTACTGGAAACATGGAGTTAAGTTTGATGTGGAGATGTGTTCATACTGAGCTGATGTGCCCTGAAATATAGTCTGTTTGCTGAGAAAGACGTGAGCCTACAAAGGCGGAGGGGCCAGAAGATGGATGGTATAGGGAGGGTAGGGAAGCCAGTGAAAGACAGCAGAAAAAACAGGCAAGTTTTAGAAAAGGCAACTAGACCATGACTAAAGCTGACATGGAATATAGTTTTCTATCTCACCAACCAGACCACAGTTTACTATCACAAAGTCAGTCAATTGGCTTGATTCAGCTCCAGATTTCAGAAAAGGGGGTGGGTGGGAGGGAAACAACTGCATGCTTAAAGAGTTAGGAGTAATATTCTAAGCTCAAAAGCAACTTAAAGCCACTTAGTCTCTCTTACCTTACTTTGTGGAAGATGAACCTTGTAATAAACCAGAATTTTAGCCTTGTTTTTGTGAGAAAAAACTGGAAAACAATAGACTTTGGGGGCTTTTCTAGTAGAAAAAGGAATGTGGGCAATATGAATGCTAGCAAGCTTAGAAGAATATCTTTAAGGCATATATCAAAGGTGTTACTTAGTCAATCAGAAATTTAGAATTGGAATGTGTATGCCTAAACTTTTGAAGATAAACAATGAAAATATTATTCTTTAGTTATTGCCAGTAACTTGGGACAAAAAAAATAACTTGAGAAAAAAAGTGTCTGAGTTCTAACCAGGAAGTGCTGACAGTGAACTTCACTAAATTTTTTTTTCTGGTAAAGGATGGAGACACATTGAATAACAAATTCAACAACCCAAATAAAATTTCTTGTGTTTTGTTGTTGTTCGGTTTTTGTTTTTTGTTTTTTTCATATTATATCTTATTCTAGTCAAGAGTAGGAAAAAGAGAATATGATCCAAGAGAAAATAGTTATAAAGCATATTAAGTATTTGATGTTTGTGAATAGCTTGAAGCTCCCCCAGGGTCTAGGGACATGGCTTTTTATTTTTTATATATATTTTTTTTTATTGATTTCACAGAGAAAGGGAAAGGGAAAGAAGGATTGGAACATCAATGATGAAAGAGAATCATTAATCGCTGCCTTCTGCACACCCCACACTGGGGATCAAACCCACAACCTGGGCATGTGCCTTGACTGAGAATCGAACCGTGACTTCCTGGTTCATAGGTCAATGCTCAACCCCTGAGCCACGCCAGTCCAGCAGGAACTTACTGTTTAAATGAAAGTTTTCTGAAGGGGGATTTTTGTACATTTTAATGTAACTTTATACATTCTTTTATAACAAATGAAAAGATAAATTCTATTGGAAAATGTGAATAATTCCAGGAATATTGAGACTTTTCGTTTCCTTTCAAACCTCGTTTCCTTTTAATATTCATCCACCTACAGCCCAAATTCTTCTCGTATTTTGCCAGCTGGTCTTTATTAGCTACAAACTGGGTGATTATTTCTGCTTCATGAGATCCCTTAAACTCAAAAATAAAATGAAATGTAAAAACGTTCCAGGCTGATCGATGGAGGTGACTGCAATGAGAAAGCCACAGAAGTCCCTCTGCGCCTTTCACCGGGCTGGGCCACTTCCACCCGGGACAGTTTCCACAGCAAAAACAAACCAGCCTGCGAGCGCCCAGGAAGCAGGATCGGTGTCTCTGAAAGCCAAACCTCACCGAGAAAAACATTAAAAATGTAGATGGCATGGCTGCCTAGGGGTTGTTCTCCCTTCAGCTTCATGGCACCTACTCGTTTGTTGGCAGCGTCCAGACAGAACAGATGTGTTAAAGCTTTATATTTACTAAGTGCTTTCATCAGCTCCTCGCCTCCCTGTCTGCCTCCGTCCCCCTCCCAGTTTATTCTGTGAAGAGTGTTTGACTTTCAGTAAGGGTTCAGTACATGTTGATGATGACATTACTGTCATTATCTGCAAACAGAAAATTATGCTCACATATGTAATACCTTAATCAATAAAGAAATTTTAAAAATAAATAAAAATAAAAAACGTCCAGCTAAAGCAAAACAAAAAAGAAAATGATGTTCAATATTTAAATCCTAACCTGCCTTATCAACGATTTTTAGAGAAAACCAGTGTAAGCTGAAGTCTTTCAAATCACTCTCCTGTAGGACATTTGTTTGTTTTTAACCCCAAGTGATACATCTCTCTTTATCGCTACATAAAATAGCTTCGCTCTCAAAGCTAATGCCATGGGGAGAACGTGGGCAGAGGAATCTTCTAGATTAAAAGAACTCAAAGAATGAAGGCCTTGGGTGGGGCAGGGGTGGGGAGACAGGGAGCGAAGGTGGGGAAAATTGGGGACATCTGTAACACAGTCAACAATAAGGAAAAAAAATGTTTTAAAGAACTCCAAGAGACATAACAAAATGCAATGTAATTTGATTAACTCCAGATCCACAAATAAAAATCTGCACAATACATTTTGGAAATAATTGGTAAAGTTAGAATTGAGGCTGGGTACAATTATACCATAGAACTGTTAATTTTATTAGGTATTATAATGGCATTGTGACTATAAAGGGGGGTGTCTCTATTCTTAGAAGATCCAGGCTAAAATATTATTGGGAAGCATTATGGTGTCTGAAACTTATTTTCAAATGGTACAGCAAAATGTTATATATTTAAAAATAGAGAAAAAGCAAGTGTGAAGCAAAATTTTAACGACTAGTGAATCTAAAGAGTGCTTACTGTATTATACTTTAACTTTTCTATAGATATAAATTTTATAAATAAAAAATTGGGAATAAAAATATAGCAAAAAATTATTTTACTAAAAATATCACACACTTCTTTACATATTTTACTGTAATCATATACAATTATGCATTGTTATTACTTATACTTTATAAAAAGCACACTTATTCATTATAAATACTTAATCTGAAATTCACTACCTTAAAACAACTATTTAACTTTTAGTGCTCATGAATGAATCTCTTTATCTTAAATATAAATCAAAATCACTCAACACCTACTTTAAACTAGAGACCGGGAGACGCCAGCTGTATGGATTGTGAATTAATATTTCAAAGTTAAATTTTTCAATAGTTTCTTCTTTGCTTTTCTTCTTTGTCTAGCATAGTCTGCTTTAAGCTCAAAGTCGCATCTTGAAATCCAGGATTTAAGTCTAATACTTTCTTGAAATCTTCCAAAGCATCATCAAAGTATCCTGTACCAGAATAAAAAAAAAATGGGAGGGAGAGAAGCAGCTGAGTATTTCCTTATATAATTCGTAGCAAAGTTTGGATACACATGCTTTTATATTTATAAGCTTTCAACCCCTTCTACTGAAGAAATTTTTCCTCTTAATAATGACATAGGAATATCTACATCAAAATAAGTGTGTCTGCCCTTCCAGAATAATACTTAAAATTAGCTAGGGGTTTACTTATTAAGATTTAACAAGTAAATGGCATAAATCATCATAAAATCTCAACAAAATTACATTACCTGTTTTAAATAATTACAGTAAAATTAGGCAATAGGAGATACTCTTTCTAACCCTTTAAAATAAAAAACAGTCCCTTGATTCCAAGGATATTTTTAATATATTTTATTGATTTTTAATGAGAGGAAGAGAGAGGGATAGAGAGTTAGAAACATCGATGAGAGAGAATCACCGATCAGCTGCCTCTTGCACACCCCCTACTGGGGATGTGCCCACAACCAAGGTACATGCCCTTGACCGGAATCGAACCCGAGACCTTTCATTCCACAGGCTGACGCTCTATTCACCGAGCCAAACTGCTTTTGGCTGATTCCAAGGATTTCAAACTCCTTCACTGTACCTCGTCTCCTGTGCCTCCAAAGATTTTAACTCAGAAAGGTTTCGCAGGTGGTCGCCAGCATTCCCCTCCATTCGCCTTTGGGGAGGTGCAGGCACAGAGTAATGGGGTGACCTTCCCTCCATTACCACGTCCAACTCCCACCCCAGAGGGCCGCTGTGGTCTGTAATGCCTATTGAAAGCTTAAAATACACTCAGAACAATCCTGTTCCAGGCTCCTGACCTAAATTCAGCCTGACTTCTAAGGCTTAACGATCACTGCGTTCGTTTTACAGCCTTCAGGAGCTCTCCGGTCAGCAGGCACCACCAGGGACCCAGGAGGACGGGGCCTTACCCAGCCTGTACAGGATCAGCCCTCGGTTGTAATAGGGAACTTCGAAATCAGGCTGCACTCCTATGGCCGACGTGTAGTCCTCCATGGCTTCGTAGAAATCAACCCTGAAGTACTTGATCTGCCCCCTGTTGTTGTACGCAGTGGCCAAGTCCTCGGGGCTGCATTCGCTTCAAACAAGAAGTGCACGTGAGAAACACCGCTTTTCCTCCCAAACCCCTCCCAGCTCCACCCTCCCTCTCTTTGGGGCTTTGTCAGACCGTACAGCCTATAGCGTGCAGCACCCACTCTGGGAAACCCGGGCACAGAGGGAACGCAGTGGCTCCCTTCTGCCTAACCCCGCTGTCTGCATCGGCAGGGTTAGTGTCACCATCCATGGGAAAAGCACATTCACTGCTCAAAGGCCCTGTTCACTGCCTACTTGTCCGGCTGAAATCCAGCATCAAACTCACTGTCCGTTCTCAGCACCTGCCAGCAGGGCAACAGCAGGCCCGACTCAAGCTGAGCGAGGAGGGAGGCCAGAGCTGGAGTTTGCTACGAACATGTGGCAAAGTTCACCATCAGCTTTACCCTCAAATGTTTACGCGATCCCAAAACCATGAGACCTGAAGTCATTTCCGCCGATAATGAGTCTAAGTGAGAAGCCAACACGCTGACCCCAGGGCATGCTTTCTGGGGAAGAGAGCTGCCCTCCCTGCTTTTATATTTATAAGCTTTCAACCCCTTCTACTGAAGAGCAGTGGTTCTCCACCTTCCTGATGCCCCGGCCCTTTAATCCAGCTCCGCATGTGGTGGTGACCCCCAGCCGTAAGATTATTTCCGTTGCTACTTCGTCACTGTCATCTTGCTCCTGTTAATGATCGTAATGTAACTATCTGTGTTTTCCGATGGTCTCAGGCTCCACAGCAGCGGTTCTCACCCTGTGGGTCAGGACAGTAGGGTGTCCTAAGACGGGGAAGCCTGTCCTATCCATCTGAGCAGGATGTCTGGAGCCTGCAGACACCCAGCGCAGCGGGCAGCCCAGCACAGCGGGCAGCTCAGTGCAGGCCTCAGCCCTGAGTGCACTTCTGCATGAGGGGCCCCAGCGTAGAAATGGCTGCTGGGCTGTTATCAATCTGAGCCCAATTAGCCACCAGGAGCCCTTCTTAGCAGGTGTCTTCTTTCTGAGGGATTGCAAAGGTGGGGTAGGGGGAAGCATATATAGATCTGATGTGCACCCTGGCTTGAACCATCTGCAGAAAACAAACCAACCAAAACAAAACAAAACAAAACAAACAAAACCCTCTATCAGTAAGGCTCCCACCCTGCTGGACATTTGCTATTAAGGAATTATGTGATAAAGACATTGTAGCTGTGTCTTCCTAAGAATCCCTAACACTGAGAGAGACGTTTGAAACGCCCACAGATCAATAGCATGAGTCAGGGTGCGGGGATGACACCGAAGCCGAACCAGGAGGACCCGGAGGGCACTATCCTGTATTCCTGGCATTTATTGACATTGTCCTCGCAGCACCTGAGGAGCCAGACCTTGCCGTGCCCACATGGCCGGGACCCCGCTGCTCCTGGCGGGTGGAAAGGCGCTTTCCGCTCGGGGTCCGCCGGGGAGAGGGACATCACGACGCTCCGGGGTCCCCACAGCCCCCAGGGCCTGCGCCCCCAGACGCCCCGCTCCCGCCTTTCGGGGGAAACAAGCCGCTGCCCCGCGGCCCCACGGCTGAGCCCGCGACGCCCTGGGGCTCAGGGGGCCGGGCAGCGCGCCTGCGCGACCCAGGCGCCCGCAGCGGGGGGGACGCCGCCGCCGCCCACCTCTCGCGATAGTTACCTCCCGGGTGGCGCCCCCGCGGCGGCCGCGCAGGCGCACTGGCGGATGTACGCGGAGTACAGCGCCTCGGCCGCGGCGTGCTCGCCCCGGTCGAAGTGGGCCTGGGCGAGGCCGAGGGTGGCGCGGGCTCCCGGCCGCGGCGGCCCCGGCGGCCCCGACATCGCCGCGCCCGGAGGTCCGGCCCGCGGGGTGGAAGGCGGGCTGATTTCAGAGGCGGAACCGCAGAGCCACTTCCGGTCCCGGAGTGTCCCCTCCGCGCTCGCCCCGGGGACGGTGCCCGCCGGCGGGCGCGCTGGCTGCCGGGAGAGCGGGACCGGCCCCCGGGAGCGCGGGTGCTTTGTTACCGTTAGTCCCGCCGGCCGCGTCCCCAGGAAGCCATAGGCCGAACTGGCGCCCAGCCCCGCGCCCCAGTGCTGCGAGGAGCGGCCCTTCGTTACAATAAGAGGGGGGAGGATGGGGGAGCCGGAAGCGGAAGAAACCTCGGTTTGTTTATGAATGGGTGAGGGTAGCGCCTACGGGGTTTCTGCGTCTACCACCCCCCACCCCCCCACCCCCAGCAAAACACCCCAGTTCTGAGCCACTTGGGTGGAATCCTCCCACTCACTTAGTTGTCCCATGGTCCAGATCCAAATTCAAACTGTTTTTTAGCTCCGAGACCATAGATTACAAACTTCTCAACCCTTTTGAGCCTTTGGAATAGTATAAAGGTTAATTAAATAGTAGTTTGTGCCGACAGTCTGTGGTCTAGGCTGTTACTTTACACTCCTTGACTTTTTAGGCCAAAAGGAAACCCACATGGTAATTTAAATTTGTTTAATTCAAGGAAAAGTTATGTAAAATGAATAATCCAAAGGAAATTTTAAAAAAAAATAACATTAAAAGGAATAAAATACTTAGGAATTAACCAAGGAGGTAAAAGACTTACAAAATGAAATTTTGCAGAAAGTAAAGACATGAATAGACTTCCCATGTTCATGGGTTGTAAAACAATATTTTAAACATGCAATCATAGATTCAATGTAATCCCTCAAAACCCCAATGATGCATTTACAGAAATAGAGAAATCCATTCTAAATCCATATGGAATTTCGGGGGATCTCAAGTAGCCAAAACAATCTTGAAAAAGAACAAAGTTGAAGGACTCGTGCTTCCTGATTTAAAATCTTACTGCAAAGCTACAGCGATCAGAATCGGGCAGCACGGGCATAGGCAGTCTTCTCAATAAACGGTGCTGAGGAAACTGGATATCTACATGCAAAAGAATGCAGTTGATCCTAACCTAACACCATATTTAAAAATGAACTCAAAATGGATTAACCTAAATATAGGAGCCAAAAATACAAAATTCTTAGACAAAAACCCTCGTGACATTGCATTTAGCAATCTTGGATATGACACCAGTGGCACAAACAACAAAAGGAAAAACAAGTTGGACTTCTTGGAAATTAGAAACTTCTGTACAACAAAAAGGCTATCAATAGAGTAAAAAGACAGCCCCGAGAAGGGGAGCAAACATCTCTGGAATCATGTATCCGGTAAGAGTGGGGGATGCAGAGATGGAGAATCTGTGGGGCAGGCTGGTGGGCGTGTCCATCTGCTCATAGAACACACTAGGGCACGTGTCAAACACAAGGCCCGCGGGCCAAATCCGTCCCGCCAGGCCTTGCAATGTGGCCCGCACCTCGCTGTCATCACTGCACTCCACTGCGTTTCCATCACAATGACAGTTTATGATTGTTCAGTAAACCATTCGGCCCTCGATTTAGGCTGGATTTTAGATTTTGGCCCCTTCTCTGATTGAGTTCGACACCCTTACACTAGGGATTCTGACATGGCGTCCCCATCACACTTGAGAAGCTCTGGTATACAGGACACTGGATGGTTGTGCCCGTGACAGAGGTGCTGGGGCCAGCTTCAGTGGCGGTCCCTCTCCAACTCGCATGCCCGTCTTCCACAGAGTCCACCCACACTGGTACTTGGCCTGCAGAGTGGCATCATCAAGCCTTCCCTCCGCCAGCTCACCCAGAAATACAACTGAAACAAGATGATCTGCAGACAGTGCTGTGCTTGCTGCAACCCCATGCAGTCAACTGCCCCAGGAAGTGTGGTTCACCAACAACCTGTGCCCCACAAAGAAAGTCAAATGAGGCTCTTCCTTCCCCACAGGGGGGCCTTCTTCCTGAGCCCCCGGGCCCTGGGGCCTCAATGAAACTTCCATTTTGTTAAGTGGAACAGCAAAAAGTAAAATAACTTAAAAACAACTAACACATATTCATACATATGCACACAGGCAAATGTACCAGTTATATTTCCATAATATATATGGAGCAATTCTAAAACTCAACTTTTCCCAAGTTGGTGTACTGTTCTGCATTTCCACCAGCAACATATAAGGGTTTCAGTTGCTCTATATCTTCACCCGCACTTGTCAGTTTTAATTCTAAATAGTATAGTGATTATTTTAAAAATGAATTGAGAAAATAATAAGAATACACAGAAGGGGGCAGCATAATGTTGCTATTTGCATTTTAGAAACTCAGTAGTAATATCCTGGAGCTATATCATCATCAAATTAAATACTCTTGATTTTATCTTAAAACTCTAGTAACCTAATTTTCCTCCTCTCCCCCATTTCTAAATGAGAACTCTGTGTGCCTCTAAGGAGTAATGCACTCTCACCTCCAGTCACCTGATATTTGCCTAGTACCCTAATAGGTGGTGGTGGTCATGGTTTCTCCAGTTTGCTAGCAAAAGTGATATTACACATGCATTATACCTCAGGACCCTTTTTTCCCTTATCCATGCTGCAATCTAAACACCCCCCTAAATAACCCCCACAAAAATATTTAAATTAACAAATGCCATGTTATCCATAAGTTCTAGATAAAAGAAACAAGATAAATGCAACTCATTTTTTACTTTAATATTTATTAATTTCATATTATTTCACTTAATGCCACATAAAACCAAAGATCTCGGTCCCTGAAATACAAAAAAATATAATTTCAAAGTGTGCTTTAGAAAAAAAAATGTCTAATACAATCACTCCTGCAGGACTGCAGGCGGGTCAACAATGCTATGTTGCCTTTGGGCATAGCGCCTACTTGTTCAGCTTTACATTAGGTTCTGTCATCTCGGTACTTCGGCTTACCATGCGACTTTGAAACTTCACATAGTTCAGACCAAGTTATATGATAAAGCATTACTTTAAGGGATTTATTACAAGAACAGAACAGAACTCTTTCCTCTACTATCTTTAATATACTACCTCTATCCAACTTCTTTCCAAGTATTTGTTATAGACAATTTCGTTCCCTATGCCCCTTTCGCCATGGGAGAGTTTGTTGTTGTTATCCTGAAAAATCCTTCACGTTGAATAAAACCAGTTGGGTCAACTCATGCTGTGGTCCTTCCTCTAGCACCATTTTCAAGACAGACAAAGCCCCAAAAACATGGCAGTTCAGTAAAACTTTCAGATATATATCCCAAACAACATAATGAAGTCTACAAGATGTTATTTTAGAGATTTTGGTTTCTATATTAAACTGAACAAGAAGACAGCCACTCAGGCTCTATCTGAAATAATTAACTGGAGGAAAATTCTAGTTTTAACTGGAGGAAAATTAACTGGAGGAAATAATAAAATAATTAACTGGAGGAAAATTCAGGCATGGCTGAACTAGTAGCAAAGGAGAAGGCCCCGAGAGAGAGTTCCCAATAGATGTGTTAGGAAAGGCTTGAGGAGCCAATAGCTGATTTTGAACTTGAAGCAAATTGTTTAACCTCCTCTGGTACAACTCTGCCCCACTCCCATGTTGCTTCTATACCCTTGCCAAAACTTTTTGGTGACTTAGTAATCTTGACACTGTGAGAAAAAAATTTCTTATTCAGATTATTTCCATAGTATCATGTAACCAAACACAAGATAGATAGATGAAAGACAGACATGAAATAAGATTGACTTCCATGTTTTATATGAAAATCAGCATCATTATTTTATAGTCATAGTTTAACACAAAATTATATACATAATATGTATATGTGGATATAATATAGATATATATATGCATAATTTGTGTCAAAATACAACTATGAAATGAAGATGCTGATTTTCATATAAAATGAATGGAAGTCGACCTTATTATGTACATAGTTATAGCTACGCATATGCTGGTATGTGTTACAGTTACACACGACTTGTCGTTCCTTTATCCCACTGCACTGTGGCATAAGGGACAGAAGTTGTAGTTACTGATCTCCTGGGCCAGCACGCAGTGCTTGCATACGCTGCACATCCAGAACTGGTACTCGGTGATGGGGCTGCCTGTGGCAACACACGTCGGCAGCTTCCCTTTCCCTCTGTGAACATAAGAGGAAGAACAAATAATTATACTCCAAAGCTTCTAATTACTTAAAACGTCCTTACATTTAAAAACTGAGGAATAGCCGAAACCGGTTTGGCTCAGTGGTAGAGTGTCGGTCTGTGGACTGAAAGGTCCCAGGTTCGATTCTGGTCAGGGGCATGTACATTGGTTGCGGGCACATCCCCAGTGGGGGGGGGTGCAAGAGATAGCTGGTCGATGTTTCTCTCTCATCGATGTTTCTAGCTCTCTATCTCTCTCCCTTCCTCTCTGTAAAAAATCAATAGTATATATATAAAGGTTTAAAAAAATTTTTTTTAAATAAAAAATAAAAACTGAGGAATAATACCGAAACCTGTTTGGCTCAGTGGATAGAACGTCAGCCTGCGGACTGAAAGGTCGCAGGTTCGATTCCGGTCAAGGGCATGTACCTTGGTTGCAGGCACATCCCCAAGAGGGGGTGTGCAAGAGGCAACTGATAGATGATTCTCTCTCATCGATGTTTCTAACTTTCTATCCCTCTCTCTTCCTCTCTGTAAAAAATCAATAAAATATATTTAAAAACAAACTGAAGAATAGAAAATATTTCAAGGTAAACAAAAACTTTTCTTACTGTGAGAAAATAAAGCATTAATATACTTCTAAGACTAAATAAAATAGGGTATGATGTTAAGGTAACCTACTTCAAAACTTAGTGCTCTGACTACTGCTAATATATCACACTATTATACATACAGAAATCCAAATTTCTAAAAAGGTAGAATGACACTAATTACAATTAGCCATACCCTTTATGAAGGTTGTCCAATTCCGATTTCCTGTTATCCTTTGGGGTGTGTTTGGTGAAGATTTCGATAGCAAGATCTTCATACTGCTGTCTCTGCTCGGGACTGAGGCTCTCTAAAGACTCGAGTTTAATAAAAGCTTTGGAACAAGTCCCAAAGGCCTCGCTGGCACAAGCACAGAGTGCCAGCA